GTATCTCTCTCTTATATGCAGCCTTGAATTTCTCTACTGAGTAACACACATCAACATATTATTCTAAGTTCACATTTTTTTTGAGTTGTTAAGAAGGCTAGTGCATGCCCACAAGGTTGGCCGGTGTGCTGCCACTCTTCACATGTGCAAGTTTGTGTTGTGACTGAAACAACATGCCTTCCAAAGTCCTTGCCATTGTCTGACACCTCTGCGATATGTAAGCTAGCTGCCACAACATTCAAGTGTCCTAATCCTTTAGTCCTTCCCTTCAATTGGTGCATTACAGCTGGTAGAATCCTACCATGAAGCCTTTCTCCAATCCTCTTATCCCATAGAATCAACATTGTCTCCCTTATATTGTCAGCTAGATCAACGTAGGTCCTTGTAGTCCCTAATCCAATTATTGAAAACCTCAGCAATATTGTTTGTGATGTAGTCACACTTGATTTCTGGGTTGAACCCACACCTCATCCACTTCAGTTTATGATATGTTGTCAACCATTTCCAAACCTCAGGAGATCCATTAATAATAAGGGTCATGTGCTTCTGGAACACCACACTGCGGTAAGCCCTAGCTGTAGGGTACATTTTTCCAAAAGTGTCACCATGGAACCTCTTTGCAAAATTCTTCATGAGATGAAAGAAGCACTCCCTTTGTTCAGCTTATGGAACACCTTCTGCGCTGCATTCTCTAACCCCTTGCATGCATCAGAACAAATAGCAAGAGGTTCTAGATCCCCTATTGCCTTATGGAGCTGTGTCATGAACCAAACCCAGTTGTCCGCACTCTCAGAGTCAATAAATCCAAATGCAACTGGATACATCCAATTGTGCCCATCTATTGATGTAGCTGAAGCTAAATGTCCATTCCACTTACCATTTAGTGCAATAGAATCAATACTAAGGTAAGGTCTACAGCCATCGACAAACCCCTCAATGCAAGGACTAAGTGCACAGAAAAACCTATGAAAGTATGGGAGGGTGCTACGCGTCGGACGTCCGATAGTTCGCAAATATCGGACGCCCGACCTCTCACTGCCGCGCGTCTACGCATGCATGCACAATCTCTACCGTTTCTACTCTAGTTGATTAGTACATGTAAAAAGTCTATATGCTCGCGCATGCATGACTGCATGGTTCAGCACTTATCTCAACCCTACTTTTTGTTTCTTTAAATTAAATTTCCTTCTAAATTAAGTATCCGATTTATGATTCGATTTCACCATTAAACTCCTTGTAATTAAATCTTCACAACAAGATCTCGCACGGTTATATTTTGATGAGAAAAATCGAACGTTGTTTCACCACTTATAAAAAAATGTTTCACCACTAGTCAAAATGTTCCAACTCACTCTAAAAAATGTTTCAGAGAAATGCAACACCGATAATATCGGTATGAAACATTGGTTCTCAGTGAGTGAGACATAAAATCTTGCTCAAATGTTCCAACTCAGTCTATAAAAATATTTCAGAGAAAATGCAACATTCAAGAAATACTAACTGCAACACCGATAATCACAATTAAATCTTTACAACAAGATCTCACATGATTATTTTTATAATTTAATCACGAGGTATTAACTATTGAAACATCGTATAATATTTGCTGAAACATATGAATGATACCGTGTACGACATTTTTAATTAACTAATGAATACTTATTGAAACACTCAATCAACACATATGCAACATTTACAAATAAACTAGTGAAACATAATAAACTACTTACTGAAACATACAAATAGCACCATGTGATATATTAAAGAAAGATATATATATTGCGACGATAATTAAATATATGCAACATAATAGAATTTTAGTTGAAACATCTGATTTTCACATGTGAAACATTAAATTTAATTGGTTGAAACATATGTGTGTTTTTTTATTATAATATAGTCATGTGAGATCTTGTTATAACGATTTAATTGTAACGAATACAATGGTGTAAATAGATCGTAGATTGGATGAGTAATCTGGAAAAAAAATTATTTTCAAGTTTGCTAAAAGGGTGTTATGTACATGCAAATAATCCCGTGTCCTCTCTCCTTCATGCATGCCAATGCTAAGTAAGGGAGCATATATAACAGGTGTGAAAAGAGAGTATCTGACAAAAAGGATACGAGGCTGCATGCAGCAAAGCCACAGTGAGAGGCGTCCGATTTTTGTTGGTTGCGTCGAACGTATGATCCTAAGCATTTTCGGAAAGTATGGCCTCCCATCAACTTCCTTGATGTCAATTTCCACAATATTACCAGGTGATCTCTTAAGGACCTCTTCCTTCCACCTATACAACATTTGAAAACTTCCTTCCCAACATCCATACAATTCAGTCAACGCTTTCTCCCTACCCTTCCTAACTGTATCATAATTGATTGTTACCTTGTGATCATCCTGCAACCTTTTCTGCAAGGCTTTGGGACCCATGTTAGAATTGGTCTTGAGGATATCAATAGCCTTGTCAGCAACCCATGCCTGCGATGGTGTAGTTGTCTTTATCCTCATGGTAGATGTACATCCATGGTCCTCATTATGAACTGTGACCTGCAATACAAATGAGATGTAATTAATTAGAGCTTTGTAAATAATAATAATATGCAGTTATAGTTGAGGTTAGTACCATTATAGTTTTATTATCACTTTGTCTATGCCCAACAAGACTCCATGGACATCCCTGAAGTCCACATTTTACCCTATATCTCTCCGGGTCAGATTTCTCTATGGCAAGCTCAAATTCCTTTTTAATTGCAAATTGCCTCATAGCCAACCTGAATTCTTTCATTGAGGGGTACATAGTGCCCTTGTCCATACAAGGATTATTCTTGTCGTACAATTTGACTAGTTCACCTGGGATGGCATCATCAACAGGAATGGCTGCACCTTCGGTGCCCTCAATGACTGCATGACCATTTAATTCTAAAACATTATTTGATTCATCAACTTGTGCAGACTTCTTTGCCCTCTCATTTTCATCACTCAAGCCTAGAAGTTCAAATAGTTGGTCATCAGTCATGACCTCAATCCTTCCCTCATCATCTTTTTTTCCCTCAATCTCCAAGTTATCCCAATCAATAAATCAAATTGGTGGATGTTCTGGAATGGACCCATGCTCAAGAAATAAAGGCACACTTGTGCAACTATCTAGATGCTCTGTAGCTACAGCTGAAATAGCTGAAGCTGAACTTGATCCATAATCAAACAATTGAAGATCTAGCTCAAACCTAAATGAATTGAACAAAAAGAATGAGTTAGCTCCATCTAACTCCATGCAAGAACAAAGTGGAAACAATGGTGAAATATTTTATCCCTAGGGCACATTGTTGCAGTTTGAGCTCATGGTGTCAATGTGTTGCATGCAGGACAACACATACCAATAAACCCCCAATCTACCTAATTAGGGTTTCATGCAATTAATCAGTGCAAAGAACAATACAATCTCAAATTTTTTGGTTTGTGATTTCTCACCTTCCAAACGTCACGCCAGAACCTACTACGAGTACCTTGGGATCCGGCTTCTCCCCTGGTGGCAGCCGGCGCTAGAGACGGCCACCACCGACCGAGGTGCTGGAGAGAGAGAGATAGAGGGGGGAGGGAGACGCGTGCGAGGGGGAGCTGAGCTGGAGGAGCGGCGAGTGGCGTTGGGAAGCGGAGCAACCGTGCGCGGTGGCGCTGGAGGATGTGACCACGGGTCGGAGATGTGGAGGAGCGGCTCGATCTGATCTGGTTTTTGTTCTGTTTCTGTATTGTGACGAGGAGGTATTTTGGTCACTTCATGAAAGAAAATGAGGAGAAAAGAAAATAAAATAGATAAAACTCTCCAAAGTGGCAATCTATCCTGAAGGCAACATATAAAGTGGCATTTTATCCTATACATCCTAATGAGTGGTATTTTGTTGAAACCAACGATATAGAGTGGCATATTGTCCTTTTTCTCCTTTTCTGTGATAGCTATGCAACGAGGGTATGAAACAAGTCCAGAGGAGAGTTTTTTTATTGTAGCTATACGTCCAGCTGATCAATTTATTGTGATTTCAATTTGTATGCAAAAAACGGAGGAAACTTCTTGTTTGCATATTCTATGGTAGATGACACCTGTATGGGTGTCTCCTGTATTAAATTTTATTGTAGGGAATTAAATCTTACATAGATCTGCCATCATAGTGGTATTGGTCCAATTGCAAGAAAACAAAACTACAGATGTGTCATGTTCGATTAATCATCCATATTCTAACTGAATCTGAATGTAGTTCAATTCTTGACAATTGTCATGATTAAAGTATTAAACTGGCTATAAATTGCATTTATGTGCAGAGCATTAGCTGAGTAGGCTATAAGAATGCTAAATGCTAAGAATCAGCAAGGTATGCCTATTCATTATAATGTATGAAGATGCTTACTAAATCTTTGTGTATTTATTGCTGAAGTGGTTCTAGCACAAAATGTCCTTATTCATACAGTGTGTGAATATGCTTCGTTATCTAACAAATGCTTCTTGTTTTGCAGATAATTTGGTGGTTAAAACTTTTGGTGGAAATAGACTATTAAGATATTATTGTTTGACTATGATATGTAAATATGACACTTCCAAATTATTGATATACATTGGGTATTTATATGTAATTAAATAACATATATACCCTATTCAATGGAGTGATGTTCAATGACGTGAATCAATGATTTATGATGCATTTCTAATATATATTTAGCTTAAGTGATTTATAATCCTACTACTACGTGATAGGGCGCGCAACGTGCGCGAAATGTCTAGTCTCAATTAATTTATTAAAATTCAACAACTTACTAGAGTACATGTAAATCCACTTGTTAGTGTGAGAGAAAATGATGTTATAACGTGTCCTATTTGAAACAATTCTACATCCTGCACATTACTGTGGGAATTATAATATAATCTAGATACAGTAAAAAATGCAGCTGGATTAATCCATAAAAGCACTAAATTTATATTAAAGCTACAATTTTCCAGATCACATGAAGTTAGGTTGTTGTTCATTATACAAGTTTAATCATTCCAACAAATAGAACATGAAGCCAATAAGATAATACTAACATGAAGAGGAGAAACATACAGGGGTCTTTCAGCTAGCTCCACAAGGTAATGGGCTAGACGACCTGGATTCGAAACCTCACCTCTTCTAATTATTTAATATTAGATAATTCACGTTTTTTAATACTAACCTAAAGAGTTTATGCACGACGAATGCACAGGAGAACAAGTACAATAGACACATACATTGCTGACTGACCCCACAACCGAAGAACGGGCTGTACTTTTCAAACAAAATCCAGCCACCAATAAAGAAAAAGCACATTTCTGCGAAAACCAGAGTTAGAAAAGTCTACTTTGACCACTTTGGACGACCGGTGTCAGGTCAGCCATCATCCGGCGGCCACTAGTGTCACTGACATGTGGGCCATATTTGTCAGAGTTAACCCTAAAATGGAAAGAAAAAAAAAGACAGCCATGCCATGATGCCAATGCTGCCATGGTCACGTCACGAGGTAGATGGGCATCGCCGGAGGAGCACGAGCTCCTCCGGCGACGCCGGCGCTGTCCCTGAGGCTGACGTAGGGGAGCACGGAGGCGGACGCGCCGAGCTCGGAGGCCGCGAGGTGGCGCCCGCCGGACCGCATGGCCGGCGCCCAGCACGCGCACGCCGCCGCCGCTCCGTCGTCATCGTCGTCTTCGACGGCGGCGAGGTACAGTGGTCCTGCCGGAGACAACGCGGCCGTGCTGTAGGAGGACGGGTACTCAACGGAGGCGGTGGCATCGTCGTCGTCGAAGGAGGAGGAGGAGGAGGAGCCGCCGCGCCTGAAGAAGAGAAGGGCGGAGCTCCACCACCGGCGGCGCTGCTGCTGTTTCTTGTGGTGGTGTTTCTTGGAGATGGGCTTCTGGAGCTTGAACCGCGCGGACTCCATTGGCGGCGGCTGATGCTGGTGGTGGCGCCTCGTCGCCGCCGCCGCCGCCCGCTTCGCCGTGGCCTGAGAAGAACCAAGAAACTAATAACAAATGAAGCTCTGATCGATCGATCGATCCATTACCAAGGAAGGGGGAGAGATTTCATTGAATGATACGCACATGGGAGAAGAAGCACCGGAGGCGGGGGTCGTCGTCGTCGTCGTCGGCCGCCGGGAACGGGAAGACGGGCGGCGCCGCGGCTGCCCCCCTCTTCTTCCCCATCAACCACCTCGCTCGCAGTCGCAGTCGCAGCCAAACCAGAGATTGAAGAGAAGCAGCCAATGGATGGGATGGGATGGAAGAAACAACAAGAGTTGAGAGAATGTGAACAAAATCGAAGCAGCGAGTTTCTTGGGATGGATGGATGCGCAACTCGACAGAAAAGAAGAGGAAGAAGAAGAGGTTCGATCCGGTCGCCGACGACGATCGAGGTGGTGGTGGTCCGTGGACAGGTGGAGAGTGATGAGCACTGCACCGTGTCCGTGAGCGCTGCGGCAGCTGCGACTGACGAGTGGGGCCAACGCGAGCAAAGTGACCGTTGCAAGAGCAGTGGCCAGTGCCCACCCACGCGCGCCTGACTGCTCGAACCTTTTCTTCGTGAAACTCTTACTGCAGTGCAGAGCCGAGCCACCTCTTTTCACCGCTGCACGCGCGCACATCTGTTTTTTCTTCTTCTTTTCTTTGGTTAATCGCTCCACTACTAGTACTTACGCGGATCCTACTTACTCATAGACTCATAGTTAATTGTACGCATAATTAATTGTACAACAATCAACAAAAAGTAAAATAAAAAAGACGAGCTAAGATAATGTAAAAAACAAAAAGCTTAAACAGGGGAGTAATACGTTCGGTGGGGGCAGTGTTTCAGCTTTTGGCCAGGTACGCGCACGTATTTGTTCCAAGCTTTTGAATATCTCCTCTACAACATGACTAGGTAATTACAAATTTACCACTATTTTAAATAGTAATTGTAAAAATGCTACTACAAATATAAAAATGCTACTACAAATATAAAAATGCTACCAGAATTATCATTCGAATGACATTTTTGCAACATATAAAAACCAATGACAAATTTACAAATGCCCTCAAAGATTTTGAATTTAATGGCACATTAAATGAAAACATGTTAATAGAGTATCGTTGACATGAAGAGTAAAATCCAAAATCCCCTTGTTCTCAACCTTGTCAACAGCAATGCACTACGGGAGTGTTTGGTTCCACGCCACACTTCGCCACGTCATGCATGTGGCCACCACAAACGCTAGGCTGCAGTTTGGTTTGAGAGTAAATTAAGACAAGCCGTAAGATTCCAACTGCCATACACTCAGTAACTCTTGCCACAACTGTGGCAGCCATTTTGTTCGCCTCACTTACGGCGGCCGCCACAACTGCATGGCAATGTTTGGCTGGGATCCAAACACACCCGTAGTCAAGAGAAAAAAGGAAAAATTGCAAAAACCACTCTAAATACCACCTTGAGTTTGGTATTCCCTCTATAAAATGATTTGTTGTAAATAAACCCCATCTTAATTCATTTTGGTTTAAAATTCCACTCAATTGCCATTACTTGTCTATTTTCGTGGTTGCAAACCCTACATGATGATATGGCTATGGAGGCATGGTCATCATTTATGTTGTCCAGGCACAATGGCATGATTATGGAATACTTGCTCCTACTCATGGTGTCTAGCATGTTATTGGATTGTGATGGTCACGAATAATTACTCTTATCTCATGGGGTTCAATAGTGGCATGTTTCTTTGACAATTCAAGATGAGGAAGATGAGTTCGGTATGAGTGACACCATGTAATTGAGAAAGAAAATGTATATGTCCATCAAGAGATGCGCTAGGTCATATAACACATGCTGAAAGAGGAAAGAAAAAAAATGCAAACAACAGTAATTGCTAATTGGGGAGGAATATCAAACCAAGGTAACATAGGATGGGGTATTTGCAACAGAATAGAGTTTTATAGAGAGGGATCTCAAACTTAATGTGATATTTGAGGTCCTTTCGCAATATTCCAAAAAGAAACAACAACGAGCGTACACCCTCCTTCCTATGTTTAGATTTAAAACCAGAAGTCTCATAAAAAAACTGAAAGAAGCCCAAACAATTATAGATTTTGATACGTAATGCAAGCACTGAACCTAATCATTCCTCTCTCTGAAAAAAACAAAGAGAAGACAAGCATGGAGTATCATTGACTGGTGGGGTAAAAAAGCTGAAGTCAATGCATAGTCATGGAAGTGAATAAGTGATAAGATAATCATGTCTAGCATTAGGGAAACAAAATAGTCATAGCTCAAAGCTAAAAGAAAAGGCTGCCGTTTTTACGGTTACCAATTTCAAATACAGTCATCTTGCTGAGGAATATTTCCTCAAACACTAGCAACAACAGAGCATCCATTCTTATCTTGATGTCAAAACTTCATTTTTCGTAATTGAACCTACAATCTTCAGATTAGTTGTACCAGTTCTCAAGAGAGCTACTACAAATGAACATATGTTCAGATGCCCTGACAAAAGATCTATCATCCATTGACAAAAGTTTAGACCTATTTGTCTCCTAAATGTGAGTTTCAAAATTTTAACAAAAGTTTTGATGAATAGGATTGATTGTGTGATAGCTTATATTATCTCCAGAAACCAAACTGCTTTTCTCAAAAATAGGTTTATCTTGGAGGGGGTGGTAATTCTACATGAAATTCTGAATTCTATTCACCAAAAAAAAAGTGGCATTCTTTTTAAGATTGATTTCGAAAAAGCTTATGATAAAGTAGATTGGGTTTTTATCCATAGAATGCTAATTCCTCCGTTTCACAATGTAAGTCATTCTAGCATTTCCCACATTTATATTGATGTTAATGAATCTAGACGTATATATCTATATAGATTCATTAACATCAATATGAATATGGGAAATGCTAGAATGACTTACATTGTGAAATAGAGGGAGTAGTTGCAAAGAATTTCCCAACTCAATGGTGTGACTGGATGATGAAAGTCATTAGAGGAGGGAAAGTAGCAGTCAAAGTAAATGATGAAGTTGGTCCTTATTTTCAAACTCACAAAGGTCTTAGACAGGGTGACCCCCTGTCCCCTTTGCTTTTTAATTTAGCTGCTGAAGCCCTTACTTTGTTGATTCATAGGGCAGAAAACAATTCCTTGCTAGAAGGATTAGGTGTCAATGATGAAAACAAAGTTGCTGTGTTGCAATATGCTGATGACACTATCCTCCTGATTCCTAATAATTTAGAATATGCCAGAAATTTGAAATATATTCTGTGTCTGTTTGAACAATTATCATGTCTCAAAATTAATTTCAACAAAAGTGAAATTTTCTGTATAGGATTGACAGAAGAAAGACAAAAACTCTATAGCCAACTCTTTACTTGTAACATAGGTGATTTGCCTATGAGATATCTGGGGGTACCTACTGATAAAAAAAAGGATCCTGAAAAAAGATTGGAAAACAGCTAAAAGTAAAATGGAACACAAGTTGGGTTGTTAGCAAGGGAGATTTCAATCAATTGGTGGAAGGCTGATTTTGATTAACTCCAGCTTAAGTAATGTCCCCCTCTACATGTTGTCCTTTTATAGAATTCCTCAGGGGGTGAGAGAGAGAATGGATTTTTTTAGAAGAAGGCTTCTCTGGCAAGAGGATCAGGGCATTAGGAAGTACCACCTTGTTCAATGGCTAGTTATCTGCACTCCTAAGGACCAGGGGGGTTAGGAGTGCTAAACCTTGATCTTATGAACAAAGCTCTACTAGGGAAATGGATCTGGCAACTTGAAAATGAAGAGGGATGGTGGCAAGATTTTCTTAGAAATAAATACTTGAAGAAGAAACCCATGTCTATCCTGAAAGCAAAACCTAGAGATTCTCACTTTTGGCAGGGGCTTCTTGAAGTAAAGGAAAAATTCTATAGTTTATGTTTAAAAAAAAGTGGGAGATGGGAGATCTATAATGTTTTGGGAGGATAGCTGGATGGGTGGCCGATCACTAGCCTCTCAGTTCCCTGCTCTTTATAATATCACCTTGACAAAACTTATCTCCTTAGCTAAGATAAAAGAAAAAGGTTGGAGTGTGGTCAAATTTAGAAGGACCTTGGTTGATGAAAATCTGACAGATTGGAATCTTATTAAACAAAACTTTGCAAATTTACATTTTCAGCCAGGTTGCAAGGATAGGCTCTGCTGGAACCTGACTAAGCAAGGGACCTTCTCTGTCAAAACTTTTTACAATGCTCTTTGTATTCAGCAGACACCTACTCCTTTCAAGAAAATTAGAAGTTTAAAATACCTCTGAAAATCAAAATCTTTCTCTGGCTCATGCTAAAGGGTAATATCTTGACTAAAGACAATCTGTTTAAGAGAGGATGGAGGAAAGGTGACACCAAGTGTTAATTCTGTGAACAACAAGAATCCATCCAGCATCTCTTTTTTGACTGTTCTATGGCGAGGCTGATTTGGAATATTATCTCTTGTGCTTTTGATCTGAAACATGTTTCTGACAGTAATCAATTGTTTAGCTCCTGGATTTCTGCTTTTGGAAAGAACCTTAAGAAATTAGTTATCACTGGTGTGGCTGCTGTGTTTTGGGCCATTTGGAAAACTAGAAACAAAGGTTGTTTTGAGAATAAACTCCTTAATGACCCAACTGAAGTGATTTTTTCGGTTTGTCATTGGTTGTAATCCTGGGTTCCGTTGCAGAGACTGGAGGAAGATCAAAGAAGGTTGCTCTTGGGAGCCAAACTCATAAGACAGGTGGCAAGTGGTATCTTCAACTCCAAGTATGGATGGAGGGCCGCTACAAGAAGGATTGGATGCTGAAGATTGATCTCTCTGCTATCGGTCTGAATGTCAGCTGCAACTACAAATTAGGATTTTGGGATGGTGACTGCTGTATATCTGAGTCGCCAGTAGACTATGTTTTAGGACTTTGTTTAGAGTTGTTTGCTGTTATTTTGTTCTGTCTGGTGTCATCTACAAAACCAGCTATCCTGATAGCTTGTCTGGGAATGCTCTGTATCTGAACCTGAACCTTGTAGTCTTCTCATTTCTAGTAATGGAAATGGGGGCATTATGCCCTTGGTCAAAAAAAAAAAAAACCATTGACTATCCTTTGAAACTTGAGAAACAAAGCAGAACATTTTAGAGGAACTATGGCAGGACTGGTCACTGTAAAAAGGAAAAAAAAATCCCTCAATCTTGTATTCCAGTTCTAGTGCTATATATTCGAGTCTTATCAATGGGAAAGCATCAAATATTAACATGAGGAGGAAACAACTACACCCATTGCAACCTGAGAACAGCAGATATTAACATGAGGAATCAAAAACATTTTATATATCTCACTGACACTACAGCAAGACCCATAAGTCTTTGTTTAACCTATCTTAAAAATTGATAATCCCCCAAAACCAACAGGCTTCACCCGTCCTGCATCACAAGTTGACACCAATGGTAATTGAGTATTACGAGTGAAACTATAAATTTGGCTCATGAAGCAAAGGAGGAAGCAGCGCAAGTATCATCTACTATCCAATTGAGACAATACACATAATTAATGGCATCGAATGCCATAGAGGTTCAAAAGATCAACATCAACCATCCTATCTGCACGCACCATGTGAGCAATACAGACAAAGGTCAGTGCAATGCATAGATAAATTATAAAGGCCAGAAAATACTAATTAGGTTGATAAAGTGATGTCCTTCTTTGGCCACTGGATACATTTGCGGAGGGCCTGCCCTAGTGTCATGATCTCTTCGTTTGGGGGTAGAGGCAATGGGAATGCAGTGAAATTTGGATATACCATGTTCACTCGCACCTTTCCATAACCCTCTGCTAGCGGCACACCTTGAACCCATGGATCTTCACTGCATGGATATGCAGTACCCTCACCAGCATCAATGATGAAATTAGTGCCTACACCGATAGCCACCTGGATCTTGCACTTTGTATGTTCCTCGATGTCATCAACAGGATACCTATCATGGATAATGCTGCCACCAGGGTGAGAATGTGCAACAGCCCCACAGTTACCCTGATTCGTATTGGGGCTGGGTTCGACGGGGACGGGGGAGACTACCGAGTCCTGAATTGTGTTGGGGCTGGGTTCCACGGGGGAGGCTACCGACCTCTGATTAAGGGCCTGCTGTAATCTCTCTTCAACTTCACTATCTATTTTTGCTGCTAATTCATCATATATCTCCTTTTTGAGCTGTGCTACGTTGGTTTCTTCACACTCGCCTTTGCTTCTCCTGTGTTTCTTGTACAAATCAGAATTGTCAGTGAATCCCGCCTTCCATGGAACTGTAGCTCCGAGGCCTCGTGTGCGACCTGGGTGTTCTTTGGTTCCTAGGGCCTCAGTTAGTATGTCCTTTTCTCTACATGACTGAAAAGACCCTTGAAGAGATTCTTCGGCAAGTTGTTGGACCCTTTGAGCAACCTGCTCAGTCTCGGTATTTGCAAAGGAGATGCTGCCATCAGAAGTGGTGATTGCCCTTGCCCGTACCCAATTCCGAGCCCGCTGTACTGGGATGTCTGCAAATGGAGTGGGCCGACTCAGCTGAGCTGCTTCCTCATCCTCCCTTGCCCATTGAAAGGATTTGCCCACATAGCCACCAGTGCCCAGTCTGTGAGGATGAGTATTGCATGCCGAGAGAGCCTTGTTTACCTCACTCTGATGCAGAAATTCTGGCGTCTGGCATCTCTGTACAAACTCATTCCATTGATCCCGCAAGTGTGCGAGTTCCTTGTCATGGAAGGGTGTCCGATCTTGCTTCACGTATTTCTTGTAAAGCTCACTCTTGAAGTTCTTCCATACCTTGCCAATCTTAAGCAATGCTTGTCTTTGCACACTGTCATGGGCACTTTCAGGGATCTCAAACATTCCTTTCATAGTCTCCCATAGTACCGTTTTCTCAGTGTTTGGTACTTTTTTCCAGTCCTTGTAGGTTATTTTGATCTTTGACCTTCCAATTACACTGCATGCTCTCCGGAATGCTGACACTGCAGTCTTAGGCAACATAGGCTGACCATCGTCAGTGACATGAGTGATGGTGTATCGACCCTTGGGCATTTTATTTCGACCTCGGCCACCTCGCTTTCGCTTCTCTGGCCTCGGTTCATCTGGTTGAGGTGATAATGCTGGCTGCGAATCTCGTACATCTGGTTGAGGTGATGATGTTGGCAATGAATCTTGTTCATCTCTAGACACCGCCTTTGCAAAAAATAAAGGGACATCAAATTAACTCAAATTTTGGTGCTAGGAACAGATCGATGTGCACAATAAAAGCAACTGTATATGGCAATTATCTTTTTAGCTAGTTGCTAATGTTGTTGAGAAAAGAAACCATTCTTATGAAATCTGAAACTCTACATGACTACGGCAATGTTCGTATGTCAAGGTTCCCAACTCCCCATCCTCGTTTTCCGCACACACGCTTTTCAAATTGCTAAACGGTGTGTTTTTTTGCAAAAAGTTTATATAAGAAAGTTGCTTAAAAAATCATATTGATCCATTTTTGAAAAAAAAATAGCAAATAATTAATTAATCACGCACTAATAGACTGTTCTGTTTTCTGTGCCGGAAGGATGGGTTCCCAACCCTGGCAAACGAACAGAGCCTACATGTAGTTTGCTTCTACAAGAGTAATACCTTCATCTAGCTTAGAAACAGGTCCGCATAGCAGAGATTTGTATGGCCAGGGACATGCTTAAAGTACTTAAAAAACCCAAACCTTGTATAATTAAATATTACAAGAAAAAAATAATGTTACAAGAAAATGCATGCTCTAACAAACCAACCATCAAGTAGTTAGAAGAAAATTTATGGGAAATTTACAGAAATAATACCAGTACATTGGCATCCACAAATCATGTTAAAGCAAAGTCCAATATTGGATAGAAGGTCTAATAGCGATCAATAACAGAATGAAGTCATGAACACATTCATACACACAACACGGGCTGATTGACAATCAGGGTCAGAAGAAAGCAAGACACATGCAAAAACATAAAAACTGCTAAACCAGAACTTCCCCATAGAAACCAGCAAATGCGCACTGCTAAGGGCGAGTATACCAACAATCCTTTTGGAATGGGATGGCAATTGAATTGAACAAGCCCTAAGGATGCCCGAATTACAATGCTCCCAGTTTTTGCAACTAATACAGCAGTCAAGTTATACAAACTTACGCCTTTTCGAGAAAAAAAAAGTCATACAAACTTACTACTGGCATAAACTTGTATCTCCTCATTCATTGCATAATCTTTTAATCTTTATAGACATGAACATGGAGCTAGTAGCCTGGTACCAATATTGCCCCATTTGCATAAACGGTTGGTCTGCAAATCAATAAAAATAGGAGCTCCCCGCAAAAAAAAAAAAGAAGAAAAAGAAAATACGAACTCTATCAAAGCAATGGTGTGTACTAGACATGAAGAGGACCACATCGAAGCAACAGCATTTACAGATATTCAAGCTCATAATATTTTGGATAAATCAAATCAGCACTACAACTCACGACCATTGATACGAACCTTTTTTTTCGAATATTCAAATCAGCAGCAGAAATCAATAAAAAGGAAAATACCTGCTGAGGAGCAGTGGCAGCCGGGGAAGAAGAAGACGCGGCGGCGCTCGCGAGGAGGGCCACGCCGCGCGGCCAGCGGGGCCGGCGCGGCGCGGCTGCCCAGGGTGGCGACGCCGCGGCGGCGGCGGCGGCGGGCGGGGAGGAGGTCGAAGCGTCGCGGTGGTCAGGGAGGGGATCGACTCGGCGCGGCGGGCTTCGAGGAGGGCGAACCTGGAGGCGCCGCGGAGGGCCAGAGCCGGTGGGCAAGGTGGTGGTGGTCGCGCTGGCCTTCGAGGAGGACGCGGCAACGCGCATTCCGCCGCCGCCGGCGGCGGAGGAGGAGAGCGAAGCGTCGTCGCGGTGGTTGGGGAGGGGATCGACGTCGTCGACACGGCGCGGCGGGCTTCGAGGGGGACGAAGCCGGCGGCGTGGAGGCGGCGAGGTCGGGGCCGAGGCCGAGAGGGGAAGGAACGTGGCGGCCTTCGAGGAGGGCGCGGTGGTGCGCATTTCGCCGGCGGCGGCGGCGGCGGTTAGTTGGGTGGTGGATCGGCGGCGGAAGGGGGAGCCGTCTGAGGGGCTAGGGTTAGCGGTGGCACCTAATACTACAGACGGATTTTCGTGTAAAAGAAATCCAGACGTTTCTTTCTTTTTTCTTTTCCTAAGAACATTGAAAATTTCTTCCTTTTCGAGTAAGCCCATTTAGTTCGCGAAATGAAAATTTTTGGGTGTCACATCGAACGTTTGACCGGATGTCGGAAGGAGTTTTCAGACACGAATGATAAAACTAATTTTATAACTCGCCTGGAAACCGCGAGATGAATCTTTTGAGACTAATTAATCCGTCATTAGTACATGTGGGGTACTGTAGCACTTATGGCTAATCATGTACTAATTAGGCTCAAAAGATTCGTCTCGCAATTTTCCCCCTAATTGTGCAATTAGTTTTTGTTTTTATCTGTATTTAATGCTTCATGCATGTGTTCAAAGATTCGATGTGATGTTTTTGGGAAAAACTTTTTAGAAACTAAACATGGCCTAAATTTAACAAATTTTTTTGAAAAGTACGGATTTTAAGCTATCGTATTAAAAATCTATAGATTTAACGGGGAAGTTATCAAAGAACTACATTAAGGTTATAAAAGTTGTACTTTTACAATAAATTAGTATTAGATCTGTACATTTTTAAAATTGTGGTGTTTTAAATTTGTAGTTTTGTACAAATTTAATCGCTGCACACATTCCTGTACACATGTTTTTGTGATATAGGCTGATATAGGCTATAGGCTGTGTTTAGGTACCTTCAAACTTTTAAAATTTGGTCACATCAAATATTTAGACATATGCATGGAGCATTAAATGTGAACAAAAATAAATTAATTGTACAGTTTGCATGTAAATTGCGAGACAAATCTTTTGAGCCTAATTATGTCATAATTTGACAATGTAGTGCTACAGTAAACATTTAGTAATGACAGATTAATTAGGCTTAATAAATTCGTCTCGCAGTTTACAGGCGGAATAGTGTATATTTAATATTTTAAATGTGTATCCGTATACTTAAAAAAAAATTGGCTTTGGAACTAAACACGGCCACAGTGATATTGCAGCTATGGTGTGAATAGAATGGTTGGTTTCGGCTTGGAAAAAGTACACCGAGGGTCCCTGAACTTGTCATCAAGTTAAAAAAATGTCCACAAATCGTGAAATCAGATATCCGTGTCTCTTAACTAATCAAAATCGGTTACAATAGATCTTTTCATGGTTTTGACCCTAGTTTTGTCTGACGTGGCAGCTAAATCAGCGTGGGACCCACGTGGGCTCCACATGTCAGGATGCCACATCATCTTTCTCTTTGTCCTCTTATCTCCTTCCTCCTCCTCTCTCTCTCTCTTCTCTCGCAGGCCAACCGACGGGTGGGGAGGAGACCGACGGGGCGTGGCGGGAGAGGAGGTCCGGCGAACGTCGACGACGCGGCGGCGGTGGTGGCAGCGCCGGCAACGCGGAGCATCCCGTCTTTCCCCTTTCTTTCTTTTTTCTCTTCTTTTTTTCCCTTCTCTTTGCTAGGGAGAGTAGCAACGGGCGGCGGCGAGCGAGTGCGTGGCGGAGGGCAGAGCGGAGCGGTGGTGGCGGCAGGCGGGTGAGCGCTCGGCAGCCGGCGGAGCGGAACGGCGGCGGTCTGCCGCGGGGGAGGAGTTGGGCGAGGCGGTAGTTGCCGAGCCACCGCCTCCTCTGGGACCCCGCCTTCGAGCTCCTCGCCGACGACTGCGGCTACCCCGCCTCCTCCCTTTCCACATGGTGGAGCTCGCTGGCGATGGCGGATTTGGACATGGGAGGAGCTCGCCGGCCTCCCCGCGCCTCCGTTGTGTCTCGCTCGTTGGCCTCCGCCTGTCGTGACCCAAGGTCACGGACAAGATTGGGGATAGACGGGAAAACACCCTTTTCCCACCTATCCTGAGAAATGAGCCCGAATACCAAATGAACACACACACTAAGTGACAAGATCTTTAGTATTTCAAGATATCCTGCTTGCTACAAGCTTTTTGTCTACTTTATATAGTTCACAGCTTTACATGTGAGATTACAATTGCGCCCTTTGTTGGGCCCACATGAAATTACAATCATGCCCTCAGGACATTTTGGTACATTATGGAGGTCATTATAGTCTTTTGGTGCCAGCTGGATGAAGTGGTTGAGTGGTCCTCGGGAATATTCTCTTGGCATCTTTGTTGTCCAAATTGCCTTCTTCATGATCAAGAGTCTTTTCCACCACCATGGGTCTTCTCCTCGACCGAGGGTCTTTTCCACCACCATGGGTCTTTTCCATGGCAAATAGTCTTTTCCAACTCGACCACCCTTTCTGACTTATCCGGTAGCTGACCTGTTGTTAACTCAGGAAATATTCAAAACGGATAATGAGATTTAGTGACAAGAATTTACTCGAACGGTATTTTTTGACTCGAATAGTGTTTTCCAACTCGAACAACGTTTTACCGTTTCCCTGTTCGAATGACCATTTGCCACTCGGATACTATTCTAACTCAATCTCTTCCTCTACATGTTTTGGGCCGAATATAGAGGAGCGGTGGTGACCCCCTACTACAACAAGCCCCTAACGGGTAAGGGCGATGCGTGTTTTCGGCCGAAACCGTGTTCGAATCAAAAGTTGGGGGAGAACCGCCGTCCTCCTATTCGGTCGAAAAAAACACTAGGACATAAAAATTTGAAGTTCGAAGGTGGTTATTCTTGTTAATCATTATGCATTTATTTGTTTATTATATATATATATATATATTATTTATTATGTGTATACATATTCTTTATGTATTGAATATGGACATTTATTATGATGCTTGAATGTGTTCCACGTGTCAGCTTTGTATTGGATGGTTGGAAGGTGAAGCGCCGCTTCGGGGTTCGCGCCCGCTTACAGCCGCGACACCCCACCCCCCAGACCTATGTAAGGTCCGCAAGGGTCGCTTTTAGCCGGCTACTGTGCCATCCTGTACTGACTCGAATCCTTGTCTTTGCTCGGAAAACACCCTTTTCGGTCGAAGACATCTTTTTCTCTTGACTACTCTTCTCCGCGATGGGAAAAGATAAGCAGAAAGCAACCAAGAAGGGCAAATCAAAGAAGGTCGAAAAACCCGAGAGAAGTGGAATTGTCTTGGGCCCTTCGGCCATCAAAGACAAGCATTTGAATGACCTTGTTCAAAATGGGGTCATTTCGAACCGGAAATCCCTAGTTCGACCTGTTGGCGAATCTGATCCTTCTCCTAAGCCTGGATACACACTAGTTTTCGAAGGTTTCTTTGAGGCCGGCTTTAGGTTTCCATGCAGCCCCTTTCTGATCGAAGTGTTGAAGATATTCAAACTCGAATTCCCACAACTTACTCCCAATGCGCTTGTGCACGTGGGGATCTTCGAATGGATGATTCGGAGTTGTGGCGGGAATCCTCGTGCCGAGGATTTTGCATATTTCCATAGCATCCACCGCTACACCAAGCAAAATTCCAAGTTCGGTTGTCTCAACTTCTCCCCCCATTCAAAGCATGGATGCCCTTGGCCAGCCGTGCCCGCCATTCGAACTAAATGGGGGAACAAATGGCAGTCTAGGTGGTTTTACCATCAGATCCCTGCCAACCTTCTTACTATCAAAGAGTGTCCTTTCACTTTCTCTTGCAAGACCGCTAAGGTTACAGTCGAACCGCCAGCGGCTCTTACAGCGGATTTTCTTGCTATTCACTCTCAAATGGAAGAACTTGTCTCAAAGTTTAGCGTTCGAGACTTGGTGGAAGAATTCGTTTGCCTTGGCATTCAGCCACTCACAGCCGAGTGGACTGTTCCCTTAGGACAAGTGCCAAGAGAAGCCGCTTCGACTTTGCCTCCCTTTGAGGTTGATCCGAATAGTAAGTTTTCATTTTTTCTTTCGGTCGAACACATTCATATTGTTTATTAAGTTCGAACAATTTCCTTCGAGTGTTTTGTACTTATGTATGTTTTTTGTTTGCTACAGCAGTTATTCCTGTAGACATTGTCCACCCTTGCCGGACATATCTTGGTCCTTATACCAAAGATGAGCACGCGAAGTACCAATCCTTGCAAAATGGTTTAAGGATGAATCGAGTGATGTCCGCCCTTGGACTCGATATCCCTGCTCGAGTTCATCCTGAGATTGTTCCTGACTCGAGCAAGAAGAAGAAAAAGAAGGCTGCGAGGAAATCGTCTTCTGATGAAGACGATGCTGAAGTTGAAGAAAATGAAGAAAATACAGATAACGAAGGTAACGATGGGAATGAAGAGCATGTGGAGAATGAGGAAAATGAGGGGAATGAAACCGGCGAAGGTAGCTCGAGCAGTGATGATGACTCGAGTGACAGCTCGAGCAATGACTCGGATTCGTCGTCAGATGAGGAAATTGCCTCGGCCGTCCCTCCTGCCCAAGCTGCTCCAAGTGTCTTAAAGAGGAAAATTAGTCCTAGCAGTTCCCTTCCTGGACCGAGCTCAAAGAGGATTCAGATTGTTGTCGACAGTGATGATGAGCTTGACGAAGACAACATTCTAGTTGATGTTTGTGCTATAAGCGTCACTCCCCTTCGAGCTGACGCCAGCCTTGCCGTGCCTGCTAGTGCTATCGCCCCTTTGGATGTGCTTGCATCGGCTGCAACGGTGGTTGAGAAAAATGTCGAAGCTAATCTAGTTCGAGCAATTGATTCGAGCAATCTTCTCCGTAGTGGTGACAAGTCTCCCACTATTGAACTTCAAACTTCGGCTCAGATAGCTCAAGACTTAGAGAGTGGGAAGAAAATTGTCGAAGAAACTGTTCGAACTGACCAAGTAGAGGAGAAGGATGCCGAAATACATTCCCCTCCCTTTCTATCAACTCCTTCCCCCCACCTAATCCAAGATGTTCTCGGCGGATTTAGCGAGCGATGCGCAAAGGATGGTCGATGGCTGATGGGACTACCTAATTTCTCCGATTTGGGGGAAAATAGCCATCCCAGTTCGAATTTTTGCATAAATGACCTAAAATATCGCCACCCGCTCGGTTCTGTTGGGGATGAGCTCGAGAAAATACTCATCACTCCTGAACTGGAGAAGGAGT